CAATGTCACAGATATAAATAAAAGAAATTTAAGTATATCATATATTTTTTTTACTTAATACATGTTATATATTTAAACAGAATATTTATAATAATTTTATTATAATAGATATCTACAAGATAGGTAATTTGATATTCATTCTCATCCCCATGTATCAATTAATAGATATAAATATATCCATTTAAATTATTTATAAGTATTTATTTATTTAAATAATAATAACAATAATTTATTTATTTATTTTTAAATAAAATTATCTATAAAAATAATCAACTTCCACTTTATATTCCTTACATTTCTCTCTTATCACATAACTTTTATTTCTATTCTGGTTTCCTACACTTTTTCACACTTTTCTTCTCTCTCTTTGTTATCTTCCCTTCATTTCTTTCATTTTTACTAAAAAAAAGTGTTAAAAAACTTTTCTTATCTTGAAACGAGGTATCATTCTTTTATCCTAAATTTTTAAATATAGAAAAAATAGTGAATAATATTTATCTTGAAAATCGTATTAACGATGATACTTTATTAATTAACAATGTAAAATTTTTATACAGACAAAATTAAATATAAATTTTCCTTATTTTATCTGCCATTGTGATTAAAGTTTTCGATATGATCAGAGTGATTTGATACCATTAAGTATTTGTTTTCTTTATCACCTTTATTTCTTTCATCCGTACCTCTTCTAGGGCATAATAGAATTCAATCACCCTTTCTTTTCCACATATTATGCTTAGGATTGGAAATTAAACTTACTGTACTACCTAACTCATTGCACATTAGTAAATGTATTTATCTTCCCTTCATGCCTTTGCTTTGAAAGTGGAATAAAACTCTCACCCGATACTTTTTCTCATAATAAAAGTCTGTAAACATATTGTTCTTAGGAAAGTTAAATAACAAATAAACATATTTTATAATATAAAAGTTATAGGAATCTTACTTCTTAAAACCAGGTCCCCCCAAAAAATATTTAATTACGAATGAAATTTTCCTGTACGATGCACACCACCTTAGTGTATGTAAGATTTGAAACACAATAATATCAGATTATAAAAGAAAAATATCAACAACAAAAAAAAACAAATTGGAATCTACACAAATATTTACGGCTTCGGTACAGATATTTATATTTTCTTTCATAACATATACAATAACTTTTTATAAATTGATACAAAATATTAAAAAATATATATGTACCGGAAGGACCCTATCGGCCACGTGGATCGGCCACGTGGATCGGAACGTCATGTCCTATCAGATATTGACGTGGCCCAAGCATCACCTCGGCTCGACCACGTGGATCGGCCACGTGGACCGACACGTAACATGACGCAGCCTAGATACCACTTCGGCTCGACAAGGAGTTCAAAGCTGTACTCCA